GTCTCAAGATCCCAATACCCCCAAGTTGATCTGAACAATGTCTTTAAGCTGGTTCACTACTTTCAGCAAGATAAACAAAAGCAAAGAAGTCAGTGGAAAGATACTCACAGTAGCTTTTTACATTGTTCAGATTGATTTCGTGTGTGGGCCTTCTTGCAGCAAATCGCAGATTCAGTAGCGATCTTGGGCACACCCTGCGTGCTACTCTGTACATCAGTGACGGTCGCATGGTGAACGGTGCTTTCAGCTGCTACAAACACTCTAGTAGGACGATTTTGGATAACAATTCAAAAGAAATCTAATTCATGTCAAGGCGATCTCTCTGTCTCACCTTTCCTTTTACGGGGTTACCCACGCTCAATGTGGATCCAGAAGTGGCAGCCAACAGAAGAGGATGATTCGGAGGTAATCGAGCAATTACGTGACCAGTACCAATGGGTCGATTTTGCTGAACAAATCATGTTGAAAACAAAAAAATTTCCAAATATAGAGCTGTGAGATGCAAAAAATTACCTGTGCTGCTGAAGAGCTTTTACCAGCCGCTGGCGGGTTTGGCACGCTTGAAGCAGGTTTGGCGTTTTCGTGAACATCTGAGGCAGCGTCCTCATTAATAGAAGCAATGACATCAAATATTTCTAAAAATCCAGCATAGACTGGGAGCTACTTAGCTGATCGAACTCGAGCATCGACGACGAGTTAAAATGGAAAGGAACCTACAAACTGCAAGAACGCTTTTCACACGGTGGTTGCATAAAAATTTGTTACAGCTGGAGAAACGCAGTTACAGTGCACGATTGTTAATGTGTGAAGAACACTCATACTTCAAAAATGAAGATAAGGCGGATATAAATCGCAAACCGTCAATAGATTGATATGGGATACATACATGTAAACAGAAAATCAACTAACCGTGTTGATGTCGCTCTTTCAGGCCACCGTATTTCTTCCAATACCACCAACATTCCTGACAAAGGCGCAGTTGCAGATTAGTTGGACCCCAAGCATGCCACGCACTGCTCTCTGTGGTCTAAATCAAATTCATAAGTTGAAACATACATATGTGATAAACATCGCTTCACTTGTTTCGCTACTAGAACGCGCTTCGCGTTTCCTAGCAAACGAAAGATACAATAAAAAGGATTCGCACATTGTCTGACATGTTATATGCAGTAATTTGCGATTTTTCAACCACAAACAATTACGCAAGGTTCAGCCGAGATACAGGGTGTCCCAAAAAAAATGTATCGAACTTTGATCTTTAAAAACTTCCTTA